CTGTGCTCGCTCACTTTTTTACCACCACGGAAGAGCAGTAACGTAGGGTAGCCTCGGACCTTTAAAAGAAACAGAAAAGGCTGAAAACTGTCTGAATCACACATGGATTCCTTATAGACAGTTGAGGGAAGGGCATCTCAGGGCTCATTTTTATAGGTGTATTTAGATGATACAAGGACCAGGTCAGAAAGCAAAGCCTTGGGAATTGTGTTCACTTCCTATCCACACTGCACTGAAGGTGAGTGTCACTGCAGTAACTTCGCCTGATCTTTAAATGCACACACCTTCAGACCGGGGACCTGGAGGTATGCACTCCGACCATGCCTTCTTCTTCTCCATAGACACACCGCCCTTTCTCATGTAAGAATTTTAAGGCACAGGCTGGGGAGATAGCTCAGTGGTTTAAGCGCCTGCCTGACAAGTGCAAAGAATCAGGTTCAATGCCTGGCCCCAGTCCACGTGTGCCATGCTGGCCACCAAAACCAGGAATGATGCCGCACATCTGTAATCCCAGCACTAGGGAGGCTGAAACAGGAGAGGATCACTATAAGGCCGAGCTGTGTAGAGACAGAGCCAAATAAAAAATTTAAAAAATCTATTTTAAGGCACAAAACACAACTGTTTCTACTCATGAGTAAATGGATCTATTACATCTCTTAATCTGATGCGACTCCAAGGTTGCACACAAGATACAGCTGGCCAGGACTCAGGAAGGGCTGGGATGAGTGAACTCCCGCTCGACTGCCCGCACATGTGTGTACCAGCTCTCCTGGGCTTCGATCACAGGACTAGGGCAGCAAACACAAACCACAGCCCTGCTAGGCTCCAAGACTGTGCCAGCAGTTCAGGCTGAAGCCAAGAGTGAAGCACAACTAAAAGGGCACAGACAGCGCTCTGCTGTGTCCATGCGGCCCACTCCCAGCCCGTGGGGACCCCCGCCCGCTGCCACCAGGGCCACCCACCGAGTACTTGCTGCACACATCCCGCTCCGCCGTACAGTCAACCTCGGCGATCTTGACCTCTGCCAAGCCAGGGAATTCCTTCTTGGAGAGCTCCTCCCAGGTGGGGGCCAGATTCTTACAGTGACCGCACCTGAGAACAGAACAGCGGAGCTATGCTGAGGGCGTTCACCCCCAAGCTTCCTTTCTTACAGGAGACAGTCAACAGCCATGCAGGAAGCCACAGAGCATCAGAGCTCCCTTGTGTGCTCCCTTACTGCTGCTCCCCTGTCCCTAACAAGGACTGGAAAGACACCCAAAGTGCACTTCTGGGGAGCCTGACAGGTGGCAGCTCAATTTTAAAATCAAGAGTGCCATGAACCTTTTAGGGTTGTCTGACATCTTCAAACTCCACGACTTCGTTTTCTGGGCACTCTGGTGACTTAGTGAGGCCATGACAACGGCTGGTGCAAGCCATCTCTCTACTCCTTGTTTGAATCTCATTCCCTTCTGGCCTCTCCCCTCTCAGAAGGGATCGTCTTTCTTCCCTGGCGATCTACTGAGCTCCAGAGAGCTGCGCTTGCTGGCTCTTTACCCCTGCCACTGTGGTTTCTCTTGTGGACCCGGGGTCAAACAAGTGCACAAGCAAAAGGGACACAGGAGGACCTTGCTTGGGCCTGTGTCTGGGAGGAATCTCGAACTCTCCTAAATACTCTACTTGTCCTTGTGATGACAGAGCAGTTTCCATGTCACAGCTGAGGATGAAGCTGAGGGACTCAGAGGACATCTGAGGTCACAGAAGGTGCGATGGAAAACCAGACTACCGGGCTGGCCACCGTGCAACCGCTCCCGTCACCTCTGGTGCACTTCTCCCGCTGTTCTTGCCGTTATCCAAAGCAGTTCCAAAGTCCTCTTCTGTGAGTGTCTGCAGTTGCACTGACCTAACTGCTCAATGTCCTGAATCAGTTCAAAATGTTTCCCTCACACGGTCACTTTGACCTTGGGAAAAGGCCAGATAGTGCACAGGGCCGGTCCGGCAGAGGCGGACACAGCAGTCTGCCTTTCCTTGGGATGGACCTTGGCGGCAGCACTCGTAGTACTGTCACATCTCACCAAGGCACCCGCGAAGGACAACTTCCAGAACTGCTCAGAAATGAGCAAGAGTGACAGGAGGACAAATGTGTGAAGTCAGAAATATTCAGAGGGAGTTAATGGCCATGGGTCTCTTACTGTAAGACATTTTTTTTTTAAATTTAAACATTCAATGTATTTTCTGATCACTGCTTGTCGTGTAGAGCAAGCCTTAGAACTGTCATCTCCCAACGTCATCCATCCGTCTTGGTGTCAAGTGATCTTACTTCATTCACCTTCTGGTCCCCAGGGACCACGTGGCAGGAAGGGTCTGGTAAAGGGGTCACGCATTCAGTGTCTAACAGAAAGCTGAGCTCTACTGGGTTTCTGTGTAACATTATTCCTAAGAAACTCAGGAGCTGAGCTACATCATGTTCATTATTTAATGAAAATCTACTTGGAAAAGTACCCAGAAACCGGAAGACTTAAGCTTGCTTCCTCTAAAGCAGACTGAGTTTTAAGTTAACCTCATTCATTCTCGATAAATAATCCGAAGGGCCGTGGAACGGGAACCTAGAACACCGGGGTGTGACCACAGTGTTCCTCCTCTGCTGGGTGAAGGTGGCATCGACCAATGACACACTGCAGAGTGGACTACGGAGTTGGAAACGTGCCAGGGCGAACGCACCACAACCGCACAGCTTCTGCGGTAGCAGCCACTCACCATGGGGCGTAGAACTTGATGAAGGTTATTCCTTCTGCAATGGTGTCGTCGAAGTTCTTTTCTGTGAGGGCCAACACAGTGCTCTGTGGGACAGAAATAGGGAATCGGGATTTTCTTTACCATGCTGTTATGCATGTTCCCGCACCACACGCGCACACACAGACGCATGCACCCACGCACAGGCGCCTGCCGTCTGATGCAGCCGGCCAAAACCTGACCCCAGCCACGTCAGCCCTGGAGGCTGCAGCGCAGCGTGGAGCCTGAGCTGCCCAGAACCTCTTCACCCACCGCTTGTCCCTCTCCGCTCGGGCAGCAGTGAACATTCACCTTCTCTGCCTAACAGGAAGAACCTAGGTGCAGCGTCCACTTCACCACCCCAATTCCACATAGAGCAGACTGCTTTCCAGGCTGCGTGTAAAGGAAATGTGCGGAGACCTGGCCCGGGAGCTTCCGGGGACGGCCGCCGTGTGCTTGACTTTGAACAATTCCAGCCCGGCTGTTCTTCGCAGACTTACGTCTGCATGTTTCCGTTAGGTGGCTATGTACCGTGTGGCAAGGATTCTGAGGCCAGGCAGGGCCATCTCGGAACACTACTATCCTGTCTTGAGATGCCGCGACGCTCACACGAGGCCCAGGCAGTGGTGGGAAACTTCTTACAAACAGCTCTGTGGTGACGCCTCCAGAGCACATAATTAGGCCAATGTGGGGTGACCTTTACAGTGCCCAGCACACACACACACACACACACGCTCCGCTGATAGATACGTCATGGGGATACACACAATCCTTTACTTCAACCCAAACCCCAGCTTCCACTAACACCAGGGCTGTCCCTAACAGTGAGGCCATCGTAGGGGGCAGGTGGCTTTGTCGCTTCTCTAACTGCAAACCACCAGGGGCTCTGGGGGAGGGACAGCTCCAGTGAGTCAGGTCCTACCATGTACATGCCACCAAAGGACCACGGTCATCCAGTCGCCACTTCAGCCTGCGGACCCCACTGTCCTGGCTGCGAGCATGACATGTCACGTGGGGTGGAAGCAGCCGTGTAAGAGCACTCGTCCACTGGTGGCCACCGCGACTGGAGCCAGGAGCCCGCATGCATGAGGACACCAGACCCACGGACACTCAAGCCCCTCGCGTGCGGCACATCGTCTCTCTGCCAAGCATATGCACGCCTGCCTGGACACTTCAGTCTTCTCTGGCTGACTTCTAATGCCTTGTACAGCAGAAACACTACACCCCTAGCGCTGTACTATTCAGGGAACATCTAGAAAACCTTTTAAAGGCGGTTTCCAGCTGTAGTTGCTTGAACCTGTGGGTACAGGGGGCCGGCTGAACCGAGCTCTGCGCATGATGAGCAGCAGTCCTTTCTCAAACACACACACCGACTCCCCCCGAAGATGCTTGGGTGTCCCTCCTCCTGCTCTGGTCCTACTTTCTACTCGGTCCTGTCACACACCAGCTGCACCAGGCTCTGAGTCACCTCTCTGCTCTGTCCTGCGGTCGCACCCCGAGCTTGGGAACTCGCTGTCTCTGAGGGTCCATCTAGCAGCTCATCATTCCACACCTGCAGCTGTGGGTCGTCCTGCTGCCTCACATCTGCGCAATCCCTAGGGGGCTCCCAGCCTCGGGGTGGAGCTTCCCAGCTCAGCTGGCCTACCACACCACTCTTCAGCTGCAGCTCCCCACTCTGCACCCCTCACCAGCACCTTCCCCATTCCCTCCAGCCCTGCCCCAAACACACAGCTGGTTCACAAGGCCACATCTGGGCTCTGTGCCTCCACCTGGTGGCTCCCCGAGTCTTGTGTCCTAGGGGCCCCACTCCAATACACGCTTGTCATAGCCTCAGGATACAGGCTTGTATGTGTTCTCTCCTTTGCCCCTACAGACCAGCCTCCTTCCCAGTTAGGAAAATCTTGGTAGCCTAGGATGGTGTCTGAAGCCTAACGGAGGCTTGAGGAACACAGAACAGACATCCAAAGCCTGACAGGAGCATCGGGGCCACTGAAGCGAGTCCACCCAGTTCCAGCCTAAGCCTCTCGGTCCTCCCACACCACCACCCTGCTGATCTCCCGGGACTCAAGACAAGTTCTAGAAGTGACTAGAAATAGCCCAAGGGACAGTAGCCAAGACTTCTTAGCCAATAGCCTGCACTGGGTAGAACAGGGTCTTGAGCCTTCTCAACATCTGCTACTCTCAGGATCACTCCATTTCTCTCGCACTCAAAGCTCCTATGGAGCTCATCAGACTTGAACATAAGGTTTCATGTTGACAGTCCCTATCCCTGCCCCTGCCCCTGTGTTTGAGGAGAAGGCGCCTTCTGCCCACCCCAGCCTGCAGCTGTGGACTCACCTTGTCTCCCACTGGCTCCGCAGCCAGCACCGGGGCCTCTGAGGGCTCCACGGTCTCAGGGGCTCCTGTCTCTGGACCTTGCAGCTGCGACACCACGTAGTCCTTCAGTGACTCCAAGTCCCGCTTTCCCTTGTACTGATCCACCTGTCCAAGACCAGGGTTACAAGCAGAGGCCGCTGAAGTACTTGCATCCCAGTGCTCTAACCATCCGCCACCCCCAGCCACCACTACCATTCCTCAGCTATGGCTCGTCACACTGTGACAACAGCCCCTCTGCACCTAGCCAGCAAAGAAGAGACTGGAGACTGAGGCTTGGCTTTGTGAGGAGAAGGTACAGCTCCTGCCCCATGGAGTCGGGGCTGGAGGCAGGCAGCGCATCATCAAGCTGCCGGGGGCCTCAAATGCCACACGCCAAGCAGCCCAGGTGGAGGAAGGGCTGAGCCTGGCTGAACACAGGCGTTTCCCCAGCTCTACGAGGTTTGTCAGTGACCAGAACAGGGACCCTGTGCCTGGGCAGCCAGGTTAGTCTCAGGATAACCCAAGCCACTGGGATGTTTGAAAACAGCAGAATACGTGGTCTTTTTCTCTCAACGCCCTAGATCTTATCAATCCGACAGAAAGATATTGTTCCGTGGCCCGCAGATCTCCAAGCCAGTGCCCCAAGCCATGGACGGTGTTCACTGTAACGCAGCACCCATCACACTCAGTGGCTCTGCCTGCTGCAGCCACAGGGGCCGAAGACACACCTTCTTTCCGTCGCGGAACCAGAGCAGGGTGGGATAGCCCCGGACTTGGTTTTCTGAGCAGAGTCCATAGTGCTGAGTACAATCGACCTGAAAACAAAGCACAGTCGGGCACCTGGTCAGTTTGCTCACGGCCTTGCAGCTGAAGGACTTTCAGGTGGCCTGCACTTAAACAGAGAAAGCTTTTTAAATTCCACATTCTGTGGTATTTATGCCACTAAGTTGGCAGTTTTGGGATAGTCTAGCTAGAAGCTACCCTGAACAAAATACACCTGAACTAAGAAAAGGGAAACAAGATTTATCTTAGGCAGGATTTCATTCCACTGAAAATACCAATCCTTAGGAAGTGGCATTTCCTTTGAGCAGGGCAGCAGCCAGCATCAGGGAACTTGGTCTGACACTCTGAAGGGGCTGCAGCCAATCTGCTATGAGCAGGACCCTTCCCTGGGCCCACAGTGCTGGCTCAGAAACCTGCTCTCGGGTCACGCTTCTGTAGTCTAAAAATCCGCAGGGATGGGGATGTGGGATGTGGTGTGGCATGGTCCCTAACACCACAAAAAATTGTAAAAATTTTGAACTGAGATCATTCTGTCCTTAATTGTAGAAGTTTAGCTTACCAATGATCACAGCTCTGTAGCTTTATTTCACTTAAATCTTTAAAAAAAATGTGCTTGCCTGACAGTCTCAAGAAACATTTTACTCTAAATCACTTCTTTTTGATTTTCTGTCAGACTACATTGGTCTAAGCAGGACTAAGCTCTCTGACACTATGTCAGTGAAACCCTGTCAGCCCTCACACTGCACTGACAGAAAGGTGGAAGGGCTAGACTAGAGCGTGGGAGGGGCCACCCAAGGTCACTGGAGGGGACGAGCACACCCAGGGGTCTGCCCGAGTCCACATGCCACTCGGGCTGGGCTTCCCGGGAGCCTCAGCTGAGACACAGTGCAATAATCTACCATAAAAGCCATGAAATAATGGAGCAAGGACACAAGGGGTGGGGCAAAGTAGAAGATGATAGCTACTTCCAGGGGCTGGTCTGTGAACACAAGATGCCAACCATCACATATATAACTAGAACACGTTACTGAAAGTAGCAGGCAAGACTGGAAGATCTATTCAATAGTAACAATTGGCATTTACTAAGCTCTTGCTCCACTTGGGACCTTTCATCTTCACAAGCACATATGGCGAGAGAGAGGTTTCAACACAAAGTGTGGCCAGTCAGGTCTATCCGAACGCGAAAATTATGCTCTTGGCCACCTGCCTGTCCTAAGCAGATCACCCCATTAACTATCATACCTCAACCTGGAACATTACTTCTGTATATAGACAAATTCCACAGCAAAGTAGGAAAAATGAGATTTTTAACTTAAAATTTATTTATTTATTTATTTATTCATTTGGTACAGGGTCTCACTACACAGCTCGGACTTGTAGTGATCCTCTTGTCTCAGCTTCCCCAGCACTGGGATTATAGGTGCGCACTACCACCCCCAGTCTCAGTGGCCAGCTCAGTGAGCCTGGGGACAGGGCCAGTGCAGCTTGTGGTGCTGGGGATGGAACCTGGGTCCCTGAGCTTGCCAAGCAAGCGCTTAGACAGCAGAGCTATCTCCCGGGCCCAAAGGGAGATTTAAAAAAAAAAAGAAATCCACACACGACGACGTCTGACGTTTGGGGTGTATAAGAGGGAAGATAAGAAGAAAATGGCTCGGGGGCCGCTCTGGGCAGTTTCAGAAAGTCAGGTTCCACAGACCTCACTGTGTCACATGGGAAAGGTCCCTGGGCTGCAGTGAGAGGCAATTTTCTGCGAGCCAGTGTGCAAAGCTGAGGACCTTCGGTATAGGCCCTGAAAAAACAGAGGCCCAGGAACAGCCTCAGGGCTCCATCCGTATCTCACAGAAGGGCTCTAGCTGCCAATTCAGAGCTGGCCATTGCTTCCAAATAAACAGAGCGGCCAAGGCCATCATGTGTCTCGGCTGTGGAAAAGCTAGAAAACTCAGAACCTGGCTGCCATCTGTGAAGGGCAAATGAATTACCAGGTGGCACGCTAAACAGAATAAAGCAAGCTTGCAACTGCGCATGGGATGAGTAATAGGCTAGCCGCTGATGACTCCGGCCCGGTGCAGGCTACTTCCAGCTTAACGACGGCCTTCGCTTACCTTGCCAATCTTGACGGTTTCTGAATGTTCAAGGCCCAAAGCCAGCTGCTCCCAGGTTGGGGCAAGAGCTTTGCAGTGACCACACCACGGAGCGAAGAATTTGATGAAGTGGTCGCCT